ATTTCATTTCATTTCATTTCATTTCATTTCATTTCATTTCATTTCATGGACAGAGAGAGAGAGAACACATGAGGGGCATAGAGAGACTGACAGAGAGAGAGAGAGAGAGAGAGAGAGAGAGAGAGAATCTCAAGTAGGCCCCATGCTCAGTGTGGACGTCCTTATTTTTAGCTATTGAAGTAGTTGGAATGAAGTTTCATAATGTCCTTAACTAACTTTCAAAACGTTTGGTTAAAAAAAAATGTGTGTGAACACTTGCATGCGCGCGCGCACACACACACACACACACAGCAACTGTGGCATAACATGAACAACTGATGAATCGATGTGAGGGCCACACTGATGTTCATTATACTAGTCTTTCAACATTTCCCTATGTTTGACATTTTTCAAGATAAAATGTTAAAGGAAAATGAATGCCTAGAAAAGGCTCTTGATAAATAACTCAGAATCTCAGGAAATTTTTAAATTTCCTGAGATTTAAAATTTTTGTTTAACATTTATTCATCTTTGAGAGACAGAGAATGGGTGGGGAAGGAGCAGAGAGAGAGACACACAGAATCCAAAGCAGGCTTCAGGCTCCGAGCTGTCAGCACAGAGCCCGATGCGGGGGCTCCAACTCACAAACTGTGAGATCATGACCTGAGCTAAAGTCAGACGCTCAACCGACTGAACCACCCAGACACCCCTAAATTTCCTGAGATTTTAAAGATCAGGTAGAGTCTTATATCATGTTTTCCTTGGCTGATGTTTGAATAGTTTTATTTCACCAATGGCATAAACAGGATTACATTATATGCAGTGTAAAAATACACATTAAAAAGTATGGGTGGTACCTGGTTGGCTCAGTTGGTTGAGCATCTGACCCTTGATTTTGGCTCAGGTCGTTATCCCAGGGTCATGAGCATGGGGACAGCTTAAGATTCTCTCCCTGTATCCCTCTCCCCTGCTTGCACTTGTTCTCTTTCTAAAAATAAAATTTAAAGTTCTATTAAAAGTATGAAAGTGTGTATATCCTCCCTAGTAGGGTTAAATTAGGGAGCTGATATTAGCAGAAATTTTTACTTTCTTTACATTTTTACAACGATCATGTAGTTTTAGAAAATTTCATTAAAGTTTTGTTTTTTATTCCATTAAAAAAAAAAAGCCCTGAAAATTCTAAATGCTTCATTTCCCATAAGCGAAATCCGTAAATATGTCATGTAAATTAGAATCTTTATTCTGTTCCTGTCATTCTGCTAGTGGAGTTTCCAGGTATAAATGGGAGCGATAGGATTCTATAGCTGTTTCTACTTATGCATAGAGCTGTGCCTGCAAACAAAATCTAAGGAAGACTATAAAAAATTAATATTTTTAAAAGAAGCAAGTGGCAGCCGAAAATAGTTAAATTCTTGGATTTGGAACACAACCTTCAATGCCCAAGTCTCCGGCCAACAGCCGACTTCAGCAGAGATCGCTGGAACTGTAAGGTAGGACCAGGCAAAGCGACCCACAGAGCTGGTTTCAGAGCGGGACACGCCCCTCCGCCTTGGCCAATCGGGAGAGAGAAGGCGGGGCTCGGGAGAGAGAAGGCGGGGCTCGGG